GTTTCGCTGCCTTCATGCAGGGATCAGAAATTAGAGCTCGAGGTATGAAACCTTAATTGTGGGGCTTGTTAGATGACTTATAATATTATTCTATGTTAGTTTGCACATAATTGAAAGATAGATGCATTAATCCATCCATGTTTTCTGTACGACATACAAATTTTATCAAACCAAACCAAAGTTTTTCTCTTAAGGTTACCTAACTGCCAGCGTAAACATAACTTTAAAAGTCAAATAAAATCTGCAAAGAAGAAGCAGGAATAGCAGAAAGCAAAAGTTTGCTTCCCCTGTAAGCTTTACTTAACACTTTTGCATTTTTTACTGAAGGCACTTTTACCTGCAAAATTACATTTTTAGTTGTATAACACTGACAGGGCCCTGTGACCTACTGAACCAGGACAAGAAAGAGTTTAATGTCTGTTTCCAGGTAAATGTAAATTAGTGCTTCCACTGCAATGTCATTTGCATGGTTGCCACATACACTGTCAAAGTGTGTCTGTGTGTATATGTGCAGTTGCATATCTGCATATCTATCCAGCAAGACAGTAAAAATGACCAACTCCTCACTACTTCCTGAACAGCTTTTAATTTACGGTTTTGTACATTCTGGACGTACACTCAGGTCATCCATCGGCCTGTCAGGGTCCACTGTGCCATAACAAATGGATGAATTCTCGCCATGTAAACAGAAATCAATATATCGAGTTTTCCACAGAGGCAACACTGACCCAGTGACCTGATTTCACTCCTGTAACACGTCTGGGTTATTTTCATAGTATTTTAACTGCAGGATTCCTTGAAAATATTTTCAGTGTTGGTTGATCTTTTCTGTGTAAAAGTAATAAAAGTAAGCTGGTAAATTCCTGGTTGGACGTTCTCTTAATATAAATGTGTGGTTTTCATGACAGGAAATCTTCCCTGTGATTTCCTGTCATTCGTTTCGCAGAAGCTTTTGTGACATCGCCAACTCTTTTTTTCAACCGATTTTCCAAACCTTATGAATTTATTCCACTTTATTATGCAAAAAGTAAAAGAAATCATTTCCAAGAAGATTAAGTCAAGTAATCGATTCATTGTTTCAACTCTTCGTGATTTAGTAAAAAGAAGGGGAAAAATTAAATATCGTGTTGAATAGTGTCTTTTTCCTGGTGTTTGCATGTGTTTCCTGTGCATGCTGGAAAGCCTCCAGGTCGTCTGCTTTCCTCCCACGATTCAAAGACTTCCATGTTGGATTAACTGGTGACTAAAATGGCCACAGGTGTGACTGTGAAACTGAATAGGTGTCTGCCTCTTTTTGTTAGCCTTAAGATATACTGGTGACCTGGCTTAGGTGTAACCTGCCTCCCGACTCATGAAAGCTGGGATAGGCTCCAGCCCACCCCAGCTTCGCAGTCCCAGATATGGCCCACGTGTATGTCTCTGCGCTCTTCTTTTCATGGTTTGGTTTGACTTGTCACGCTCATATTCTACATTTTTATTCACATGTATTCATAGCCTCACTGTTTATATCAGCCCTTCGGATAGCATGAAAATGTTGCAGCAGATTTCATCCTTTTCAGTCTACCATTAGCTCACTCACACTCTGCCTGACCCCTTTCTCTCAACACCTTCTCTGCCAGCATTTCCATTATAGTGACTCTCACAAAACTGCACTTAGTGCTTTCATGTTGTCAGACCTCAGGTTTTATATAATGAACTCCTCCTCCTGTATCATGATAGCAGACTGTTGTGTCTGTAGGACAGAATTAAAAAGGTACCTGTAGTTCTGCAGCATGACCTTAAATTATATTAAAGTTTGTAACAGATGAGTTTGTAATCTTGCGCAGGCTTATTTAAATTATTATAATTGGGGGAAAGGGGATAATAAGGGGACATCCCCTTGACAGTACAGCAGTACTGTAAATGTGACAGTACAGTAAATTTATTTTAGGATGATGCATGAAAACAGGACAACGGGGCCCACTACCACCAAACAGATGGTCCTTTGATAACATTAAGCAGAAAATAGGTGAGCAGGTTTTAGAAAACAACGTCCAGGCTCACAAACCAGAGGGTGGGGCTCATCTGCGACGGGAAAGTAGCAGTGATAACATAGAGAAACTGGGCTGAAACCGTTTTAGCATGAAACATGAAAACTCAATAAAAAGAAAAGCTCAGTGAAATATCAATCGGCTTCACTCAGTCCTCATTCTATCATTCTGCGATCAAACAAGACCCGATGTCCACCTAAAGGGACAAAAGATTAAAAGAATGATGGAGTATGTTTCTTTGAAATAAAATCTGAATATCAAAAAATGTTTTCTTCTGGTCTTATGAAAATGTGCCACCATGTCCAAAGCTTGTGTTTCTGCACTTAGCAGCAGAGTTATTGGCATTCAAAGCACTCAGCGCAAATAAGCTGCCCACCAACAACCGCCACCCCCCGCCAAACAGTACTGCTGCCTCGTCTACTTTTCGCGAGCTTCTCGTGCTCTCCTTTTCCTCCCTTGTTCTCCGCAGCCTCGTACTCCCTCTCTCTATCTTCTCCACCCCCACCCTCTCCCTCTATCATTCATCTGGCTGCACTGCGAATCCCAGCAGCTGGTTGAGAATCCCCACAGAGCTGTTTCAGCTGAACTCTGCAACATACACATTTGTTAGGTGTTAGGTTTGTGCTTTTTTATTTAAATACCCACAGTGTTTGTGCATTAGAAATATAATTTGGATTCATACGCCACCATATCCCCTTTTCCACCTCCTCTAATTGCTTTACTCTTGCACCTGCTTTCAGTCCATTAAACCCAGTTACAGAAACTAATGTGATGATTTTGAGCTCGATCTTCCCCTTACTAAATAGTATTACTATAACACTTTGTGAAGGTATGTAGTTAAAACCAACCCTCTTGTCCCTAAGTATGTGCTGCTGAGGCAGGTAGACATGAATAGAATTGTAAATGGCTTCTCTGAAAAGAAGGAAAGGGGCCAACTCTCTAACAAATTGCATGTAAACAAATAGCCACAGACCACTGGCTGAGCAACTGCCAGCATCCTCGAGAAGTAAAGAGGAGAAATAAGAAGACTATACGGTGCATTCCTTTCCCCATAATCTGATTTATTTGGCTGCTTTAATGTAAATCATATCTATTCTTCTTTTTGCCTCTTTCTGACCACCTCTCCCCTTGTTTTTCATCACTGTGTTATTCTAAGACTACATGCATGGGAGACAGAGAGAGAAGCAAAGTATGAGTCACAAAGCTCACACTGAAACACTGAAAATATGTCAACAAGCAGAAGAGAGAGTCAAAGACAGTGAGGAGGTAATAGGTCCACTGGAATTTCCTTGTAATTTTAGCAGGATTAAGATCTGGCTCAGCTGCCTGCAGCTCATGCCAAGAGCTGCTGAGTCCAGTTACCAGAACAAAACGTGGAGTGGTGAAACTTTAGCAAACACCATACAAACAGAAGCATGCACACAGATACTGTATCACCATTTTATCATTAGAGAATATAGCTTAGATGTCTGTGTAAGGAAATATAGCCACAGGCATTTAAAAATAGAGACACAGAGGACTTGCCATCTTTCTGAAGTTGAATCAGCAGGGGTATTTTTTGTTATAGGTGGCAGTAGAGTATGATTTATGTTTAGGCTGCATGGGGAACTAGCTGGTTATATTTTAGGTAGCCAGCCAGGGAGGTTCTCATGTGTCAATAATAATAATGGTAGTTGTTGATTTGGGCCAAATGAAGCAGCATAATAAAAAAACAGCTCATCTCATCTTTCTTTTTCTTTTTTGTTAAGAAAATGTAGCCAGATAAACTGGTAGTTCAGGGTTTTTTGCTGGATCAGAATAGCACTATGACTTACAACAACAAATACTCAACACATTTTTATTCCAGGCTGTCAAAAACTGCTGTTCTGTCAGTTGCCTCTGACATCTCACAGATTTGGCCAGTGGTGCCTTCACATGCTGGTTATTTCTATATTGGACACCTAGAGATAAAATCTGTTTTAAGAGAGGAAAAAATGATCAGCTTGTTACTTGGTTAGGTTTAAAATAAACCTTGTTTTAAATTGTTAATATGACGCTTAGCCACTGCATTTAAAAATGGACCGCATATGATAATCTGGGAGTGAGAGACCCTCTCAATATTGTCATATCTCTGTGCGTCACAGAAACGACACCTAAGGGTACCTTGATTTTATCTTTGAGACACCAGAAGCTTTGACAAAACAGCAGTATTTGATTCCCTGGGAATGAGAACCGGCTAGATCAGCCCATATACTATAAAGGCTCTGAACTTTGTTATCCTACAGTCAGAAATATATGATTTTTCTCATCATTTGTTAAATATTATGCAATCTGAGCTAATTTCATTACAGTGGTGGTAAGTTTCCTTTAATCTTACTTTGGCATAAGTCCTCTTGGGGACACTGCAAATTCTTCTGTGCAGTCTACAGAGCAGACTATTGAGTTGAGTTTTAATGTAGAATTACTCAACTATTAAGAAATAAGTAACCAAAAGTAAACAACACACCAGTTTGTTTCTGTATTTCTGTCTCTTATAAGAGACTCTGAGGCAGTGGCCGACTCACAATACAAGTGAGGAGTAAAGCATGGAGTGGAAGTTGTGAGAATGATTCAGATATTCTGTGGAGCTAAGCTAATAATGGTCCACGTTATAGAGAGCCCACTCACAGGCCATTTTTCCGACATATATAGAATTTTTGGAAGTTACATAAGAGAGCAGAGGAAATGGCATGACTGGAAAAAAAGTTGTTTTGTCAAATGTTAAAGCAAAAATAGTTTTAGCATAGCATCATTTTTGAGAGGATTTTCTGTGCCGCCAAGCTTTATTTCTTCACATCCCATAAATGAAATGCAAACATGTCAGTCGCCAACACTGATTTTTCTGAAGCCCAAGCCATATGAGGTATGTTGCCTACAATGGCTGTTTTGTCTGACCAGCCCCCGAAACATTCTGTTTAACAACACAGAACTGAGTAACTCAGTGAGGGGTTATTTTTCTTAAAAAATTAATTTTCTATCATATAACCATTTTATTGTATCTGCTGTCTGCTCCTCTGCTTGAAAAATACGTTACAGCCAAGATATTTCCTGACCTCATTAAGTGAAATGAACAACCAGTGCCTCCAGTTTCTTTTCTATCCCCTCTCTCCTTCTCACTCATGCTTCCTGTGTTAAATTTGATCTTCTTTTCCGCTATGACTAACCAGCACATCTTGTATTTTTGACCTATCTCATGCAACCTGCTGCATCACCGAATGCAAACTGTTTCAGTTTTAGTGACAACCGTCACCTTCCTCCCCCTCTTCACAGCCCACACATGCACTGGCCTCTTCTTCACCGGGAGTCCGACTTTTAGGCAGGCCGGGCTTCATATGCAAATATAGCCTGAGTGGGCGGCAGCCGAGAGCCGAGTGTGCAGCAATGTGAGAACTCTTACAAGCCCCGCCCACAGCAGCCAGTTGCTAAGCGACCACCTGCAAGGAGGAGGGAGCGAGGAGGAGAAGGAGGAGGGGCCATGAATTCAACAACTGTTGCCCGATCCGAGCTCTCGCTGTGTGAATGCGAGTCAGCCGGCGAACAAGTGAGCGAGAGAAAGTGTGTGAGGTGCAGAGAGAGAGAGTGTGTGTGTGTTTGCGCGTGCACGCGTTTGTCAAAAGAGAGAGAGAGAGTCTGCGCTGGTGCGGGAAAAGCCAGTGCAGTGTTTTTAAAGAGAAAGACACAGCCTGCCTCGCTCCTCTGCCTCTCCGTGGACTATACCACTACCGGGGACTCACCCTTTGGACTATTCCGTCGTTTCCGCCTCCCCCCCTCCTGCCCTCACACTTGCCTTTGAAGGGAACACCTGTGCGCGTGAAAGCCAAGACAACGGACTTAGCCCTGGTAAACAGGGCGACTGGATGACTTCAGTGGAACACGGTTTGGCTGGTGGAAAGAGGGAGACTGCCGATCATGGACTCCCCGCACTAGTTAACGGGGTAAGAGACCAGGGAGTGCAGCAAGCCTGCTGAAATGTGAGGGTGATAAAAGATGACTTGACAGAATGAGAACAAAACACAGAAAGAGGTCCGCAGGGAGAAGCTGGGGTTTAATGAAAGAAAAGCAGTTTACGCGTTGGGGGAAAGACAGCTGAGTTAAAGGGGAGTTAAGGGGGGTGATGCTTCAGCGGCGGTCCATTGTCCCCCGGTTTGTGTGTTTGAATGTGAGTGTTGCACGTAGTTGACCCTGCCTCACAGCTTGCCTGTCTGTGTTGCTCAGCTGTTGGTGTCATGCCTGCACACTCCTGTCTCCTCTCTTCTTTTCCCTCTCTCTGCTTTCCTGTCTCCCCCCTCCTCCTGTCATATTCCCTCTGCTTCATTTGCATCCCAGCATCTCTCCCTGAGGGTAATGGGATTAATTGGAAACTAGGGTAGCTGGAAGGAGACACGGAGAATGACAGAGAGAGGGATGAAAAAACATGTGAAGTGAATGTCCAGGTGTAGTTTATTTTAAAAAGAAAGAAAGAAAGAAAGAAACGGAAAGAACAGCAGATAAATGTGACAAAGTTGTTTTCTACAGTTGTGTTTATAAATGTCAAATAAATGTATCTATCTAATCATCATCATTATCATCATCATTTTGCGGCATTTCATACTTAAAAATTCCCATCAGCTGATATGAGCCAAAGTTCATTAATGACATCCCACAAAACTACAGATTGCCTGTCACATGACCACTGCACATATACAAACTTCTCTTTTTATACATTTAAATTGTTTGCAAATGCTATGATTTATTTAAGCACGCACACTTAAAATACATGGAGAATCCTTCCTGATAGGTTTTTTTGCACACGTTCGTGTTTGCTGTAACTTTTGAGCGTATTTATTCAACTCTCTAAAAATAGAAAGGCAAGGGGAGTTTTATTTCTATTGTCAGTGGCAACATATACATGACGTCAGACTCTGTAGTCACTTTGAATACACCTGCTGCTCTGTGACTGGACGTTACATAATGAGATTTGCCCTCTCTTAGTTGAGCAGGAAAGTTGCTGTCGATTCCACCCGGACCAAAAGAAACGAAAACATTCTCCGAAGATCTTTCTACTGAAAAGACAAATGTGTTTAAGGGCATACACTTTAACACATTTGCTTTTTACAGTAATTTGATGTTTGTTTCCATCACCAAAACCGTCTCATAGCCAAGTATTTGTACCAGTGCACCTGTATTTCTCAGGGACTAGAATAACTAGATTAACATGCAGTTCTGAGCTGTACTCGGTGAATGAAAGCTAATCTCCAGGAGTCACAGTCACTCCTCTTACACAATTTCTTCCGGGCCTTCTAACACACTGCTACTGAGAGAAAAGACACAACAATCGACAGACAAAACGAGCAATTATCTAAACAGGACCATTCATACTGTAGCTTCTTCGTCACTGAGATCATGTACTCTAGGTTTAAAAATAAATGAAGCTCCCCTGGCTCTCACCATTTACCAGTTATAAGTGTTTTAAAGTTACTTTTTAAAAACAGATAATGGGGTTTTAATGCAACCGCCTATGGCAGACAGGGGCTAGACCACCTGCTGAGTGTCTGCCAAACAGCACGCTGAAATGCCTCCGTTCAATAGCCGACAGCAAGTGGGCTCACGAGCTGCCAGTTAAGAGAAAGACAATGCACTATGTCGAAGAAGGATGGTGTCCTTTTCCCCCCTTCTTTTCTTTGGACGCGAGTTTGATGACTCATAAAACACTCTAGACACAACACTCTCAAGCTGTGAAATAATGAACCTGAACAGTAAATTGGACAGCGAGTGTTAAGTGCTTGTGAAACTCCAAATGAGTCAGTGTTTCCTCTTTTCTGGAAAGATAACTAACTTCTCTTTTTGTTGGTGATGATGATAATTCAAGGGAAGCATTAATCAGTGGATTGCAATGCTGAGGACAAAAAGATGAAACAGTCATCAGATTTGATGGTTTATTAATTATTTAAGTATATAATGGATAAAAATATGATTGAGAGTAATTATTTTCTCCTTTTTTCATGTTTTATATCTCTGGGTTTTAGACTGATAAAGCAGTCATTTGAAGTTGCCGCATCTCTTACAGTCATTGACTGGAGTACTTACAGGAAAGCATGCATGGTTTTGATATGACTTCTGCCAGCTAATGCCAACTCCTTTGTTTTGTTTGGCAGGAACACATAGCACATGTCAAACCAAGGGCAAATGAGCTACCCACTTTGTGTGACAGCTTCTCATAATTGCACTTCCTCGTAACATATACCTTGGGTTAAACTTAAATTATTGTGACAGATGCTTACACAACTATTTTCATTTTAACAGTTTCATTTTTCAAGATGAAACAGACGGTCACTGGGCTTTAATCATTGCTCAAATTGGGCCTGCTTTTTATACCATTGTCATTATATATAAGGTATATTTTTATTATTATTTATCATTATGAAGTGTTTGAAAACCGACACACATGCTTTATTGGTAAATATCAGTGTCACCAGCAACAGTGAGAAACAACATTTAACTAAAACTAAACTGATGTCCTTAGTTTTATGTTTTTTTTCAGTGTAGTGAAATTTATCAACTCTGCAAGCTTCAGGGGGTTTTGGTGCATGTTGAAATGAGGATGTGTACATGAGATGAAGTATTGTTTCTATTATGATATCTTATCTATCTGAACTTGTCCCTGATGCCAAACCCCCACATTATATTAAAAATAGAAAACTAACACAGAAACTGAAGATAAGCCAAATTTGCACTTTTCTAGTTTCGAGCTTTGGCTTCAAGGGTCTGCTGGTACCAAGTACTGTAGGTAACCAACATGTACACAAAAGTCTTCCTGTCCAAAAAAAAAACCCAGCCTGATGATAAAAAAGGGATGTCAGGATACCAGGAAAGTAGTAGTTTCCACCAATACCAATTAAAACTGCACGATTTTTGATACCCAATTAAATACCGAAACCAAATGATCATTCCACGTATTTAAACATAAACTCATTTATTAATTTTGAACTTGTTGACATGGTAATGGCAGATGTTTATTTAAATTGTTGACGTTGTATTTTGTTGAGTTGACACCGAGTCAAATGTTAGGATGGTTGCCGAGTAGCCTGCTGATGTTACTACAAGGTATAACATTAATTAAGTTTCCATAAGAGTTTATATACTGTTGCCCACTGCAAACATTTAAGCCTGTGGCTGTTTTCTAAATGTATCACAGTCACAAGTGTCACATTAGGTAATGTCCATTTTTTGCCCCAGTGGACCAATTGCTAAAAAAAAAAAAGAAAAAAGAAATTTCTATAGAAAATAGTGAAAAAACAGGAACTTTTTTTTTAGTGTGTTAATTTTTATTGTTTATCTCTAGTTTTGGTGCAGAGTGAATGGCAATCAGGAAGGCCTTTTAAAAGTTGTAAAACTTGTGAAAATACATTGAAGTTCAATATTTGTGCCCTCCTTCGCTAAAGACATCCAGTGAACCAGACTGGAGTCTTTGCCAGGCTTAATCTGGCCCCCGGGCCTTATGTTTGACAACCCTACTATATGTAGAATAAAAACTGTGTTACATGGCTATAGTAAAATCTTTTCAGTCATGTTGAATCATCTGACTGAAGCTTGAAGTTAAAATGAGAGCATCTGCCAACATAAAAATAAAGTTGAGTCACTTGAAACGTCACCAAACTGCTCCTCCCTTGCTCTTAGCTTCCTTCATGTCATTTAGTCTTTCAAGTCAAAGCGATATTTAATCCAAATATCAGATCAGTGCATCTTCAACAAAAACTAAACCAAAACTAAACATTGTCAACCAAATAAATAAATACACTGAGATAAGCCAAGTCGCTCTAAAACACTTCAAACTCAACTGAATCGAAACTAAAAATTCAAAATTAAAACTAATGACAAATATAACTCTGATCAGAATCATATAGCAGTTGTTTTTACAAGCTGCTTGTCCTCACTGTTTTGTCACTTTACAGACATGCAGTTCTCAAATTTATGAACACAATGAACTCTGGCACATTAATCATGGGATGCATTTCAGGTTCTCCCTGTTTTTATTAACTGAACGTACCTTGAACCGTCTAAACTGAATCTGATTTCATCTTCATTCAGTCAATTCAGAAATACAGAAGCAAATACTGACACGTGCACAGCATTTTAACTCTAGGGGCGTTCACGTTTCACTGAACGCACCTCCACAGAGTCTCCAGTGTGCGTCTGCAGTCCCTCCCTACAGTGTCCTTTGTCCAGTGTGGCATTTCTTGTAACTCAAGTAGCTACCTGAAACAAACGTCTTTTTCCCCCCCCATGTTTCAGTTATGGTTATGGCCTAGTGATGAATGAGCAAGAAGACAGTGAGGCTGTAAAGAGTCTCATGGTTTCCTCATGTTTCAGCTAGACGCTTTCAGTTAGACGTGTGTGTATTTGTGTGTTTAATTCACACAGCATTTCAAACAGCGTTGACCTAAACAAACAGAGTTTAAACATGAATCAGATATGATTCAGGAAGAATAATGCTTACTGTTGAATCTGAGTAAGGCAGTTACACAGGCAGAAACATGCACATTAAACACAACGAGCAGATGTTTAAGGAATACATGTAGGTGTGGCTGCAACTGTCTCTCATCAACTCAAGGAATACCGAATGGTTATTTGCTTCATAGATTAACCTAGTGATAATTTTGTGCCCCCCCAAAAAAAAAAATGAGGCTACAAAGACGATCATCAAACAAAGCTTAAAAAAAATTTATTAGTTGCTAACAAGTTATTTCACCATTTATTTATTTGTAACTGTAGCCTTTTAAGTTCTTATAAAGCCTTTTTGCACTCCATCTGTACCAGAGCTGCTTCTCTGACAGGATCAGAGGCTCAAAGTAATCAAAGCACCAGACGGCAACAGTCAAAATGCTGCATATCAAAGCGAAAGCTTAACTTTTCAGGTTTTAGGTGAATACTTTTGTGGCGCTAACAAACGAGGAGC